CTATCTATCTATCTATCTATCTATCTATCTATCTATCTATCTATCTAGGGGTGGGCTTCAAATTTTTTTAGCAAAGGGTCCTCTGCCCAGTTTCTGGGTGGGCATGGCCATGGTGGATATGGCCTAGTCGGCTTCCTGCACCATTGGGGGGGGATTTTTGCCCTCCCCGGGCTCCAGAGGCTTTCCTCGAGCCTCCAGGAGGGCAAAAATGGCCTCCCTGCACTCCAGAGGCTCTTTGGAAGCCAGAAACGGGCCCATTTCCAGCCTTCCCGAACTTCCAGGAGGCCTGTTTTTTGCCCTCCCTGAGACTTCGTGCGCACCCTGCACTTACCTGCATCCAAAAACGGGCTACGTGGGGACTCCTGGAGGGGTGGGGGGATGGGATTAGCCAGGAGTGGGATTTGGGGGTTCTCCGAACTGCATAGAATCTTAGCTAGGGGCTCTTCCAAACCGCTGCAAACCCCCAGAAGCCCACTCCTGCACCTAGGAGTCAGAGGAGGAGGGGAGCCATGTTAGTTTATGGCGGCAAAAATTAAGGAGGAGTCTGATAGCATCTCTATCTATCTATTACATTTACCCATTTTTCAACCAACTCTAGTCTGCTTCCAATCAAAAATCAAAAGATAGGGAGAATCCAGGTCTTTGAAGCCTTATGGGAAGCTAAATATGGATCAGGGGCTACAAGTTTCCTCCCTCTGCCTAATCTCGACCTTTTGATTTTCTTATGTAGAAATCTCTGGAATATGTTCTGTTCTATTATGCATTTCTCTTACTTCTTCAATTCTCTCAATTCATTCTAGTTACAGTGGGAAAGAATTGCTTTAACTTTTAATGCTGATATTAAAATGTTGTTACTGTTGTATATTAGCCCAAGTAGAAGTGATTTTCCTGTCAGATGCAAAAATTATAACTCATAGATTTCACTGTAAACATAATGGAGAAATGATTAAGAGAAAAGCTTTGCTAATGATGAACTCAAAATGCATGTTTTAAAGTTGAAAATGGTGTAGAGCTGCCAATGATTGAAAAGGCCAGGCAGTCTGTTCATCGGAATTCAAACAAAGGAGAAAATATAATTCGACTGATTCAGAAAAATTGAAGCGTTGCGTGTTCTCTCTCTCTCCACCCCCCTCTATTTTTGTGTGTGTGTGTGGTATGTGATTTTTTCACAAGGAAAAATGTATTTATAGGAACATCCATTTTTTCTTCCCTTAGTTTTTCCTCCTTCAATCTCTCTCTCTTTCTCTCTCTCAATCTCTCCCCCCTCTCCCTCCCCTATTTGTGTATGTGTTTGTGTATGTGTGGTGTGTGATTTTTTTCCCAAGGAAAATGTATTTATTGGAACAGCCATGTGGTCATGATAGTGAGGTCTTACTTTTGGTTGACTTCCATTTTTTATATCTAAATGGTGTACGTTGATGACTTAATTTGCATCTTTTGGTTCTTCTTCCCTTTCTTTTTTTGTGGGAAGCTAGTAACCAAAGAATACATGCAGAGTTTAGTTGGATTTAGAGAGGCACTACAAAATAGAATAAAAGGATGAAAACTAAAAATAAAGATACTGTGTAGAGAATATGTAAATATACATTTTACATCACAAAAAGCATCACTTTGCTTGACCCTATGTTGTAGTGTACAGCAAGGTTTCCCAACCTTGACATCTTTAAGATGTATGGATGTCAACTCTCAGAATTTGCCCGCCAGCCACGTACAGTAATAGAAGCATCTGCCTGTGTCTATGGACTTACAAAACATTGTCAGAGGTTGAAAAAAGAGGTGACACTATGTTTAGAAGTAGGGACTTCTTCACTTGGCGTACCCATATTAAATGGAGAACTTTAAAAAATGAAATTCTGATATCTGCTCTCAAAAGAAAAAATATATACCCATGCACATACATGCATATACATATGCTACACACACACACATGTATGTATGTATGCATGTATTATGTATATAAACACAATCCATTTTTAATACATAGCTGAAAGTTAACAAGGTTGATTTTATATGATATAAAGCTATTACAGAATCTAGTTGTTCTGCTTTGGAAACCACAAAGCCTCCTCCAGGAAAGTAACAAAGAAAATTGGTCATGGAGAGGATGTGTAGCATCTCTGACAATACTGCAGACACTGGTCATGCATTGCTTATATGTTGTGTCCTGGATAGAAGGAAGTGAACTTCTAATATTTTTTTCTGCTGTCCTCACCACTGCCTGCACAGTTTTCATGTCTAAAGCAGTAACGCTTCCAAACCACACAGTAACACAACACAACTTTCAATCACCCCTGAACAGAAAGTGCCCTTTTCATACAGTCTCACGGTTCTTTTTTGTTTTTCCTAGTGCCTCAAGTCCATGTAAAGTCTAAGCATATAATCAGTTATGTGGGTGACACCGTGGTCTTTACTTGTGAAGTTGGCAATGGGACAACCCACTTTAACCCAAGTTTTTGGATCTGGTATTCAAATAATGGAAGTGGAGAGGTAAAGTTCTGTTTCGTTTATGGGAGGAATCCTCTCTCCCCTGCCCCATTATTTCAAGATGCTTTTCAAGTCATGCTTTTGTAATATTTGACCCAATCTTAACCCAGCTAGACTGTGAATTAAATGTTCATAGATTTCCAAAGATTGATTGTGTTTTTAATTTCCCTTTCACGTGTCTATTTCACCGTTGTAATTTTCCTGCTAGAATTTTCATTTATATATTTAAATATCTATATTAGTATTTCTAATGATGATTTATGAATGTATCATGAAGATTCTTCATTCTTTTTTCTTTTGTCAGGTGGTTATTAATTCTACCCTGATGCCAGAGAAGTACAGCTTTATCCAGACACATGCAAACACAACCAAGCTGAAGATCTTTGATACCTCTGAATTAGATACCAGTTCTTACTGGTGCAAAGCTGTATTTCTACTAGGTGAAAGCAAAGGAGAAGTATCTCTCAAAGTCCTGACGTATCTAACACCTCTCAAACCATTCCTTGTAATAGCTGCTGAAGTTATCATTTTAGTAGCACTTATTTTTATCTATGAAGTATTCTCCAAAAAGAAAGAAGCAAACACTGGTAAGATATGGAAGAATAACATATTCAAATATGGTTCTTTTATTTGATATTTTGTATGCAATAAGAACAGTGGATGACATGAAGGGTAAACCTCTGTTTATATGGGAGCTTCTTGGGGTCAGAGGGTAAAGAAGGGTAATTAATTTCTTGCATTATGTCATTATGTTATCACACAAATCATGCAGATAAACTAATTTGCAAGGGTATAATTTGCATCATGATATATGACATGTGGAACATCAGTATGGCTTCTACCAGTAGTCTGTGCTGATATGTTCCCATTGTATTGGACCTCAACTTCTAAAATTCCTGATCCAAGATACATGATGTAAATGGAATTGTAGGGACTTAAGTCCAACAGAACTGAGCATGCAAAGTTAGGAAAGATTGCACTAAACCATAAAAATAGGTAAACTATTTCCTCTGATAGTTTTCTATAATTAGAATTTAAGAACGAAGTTCTGTAATAGGATCAAGTAATCTTTTATTGGCTGAGGACTGCATTTTATCTTCATGTGATGGATCCAGGACTACATTAAAAGGTGAACAGAGTTCTTGGGAGCAAGAGGCGCACACACGACAAAATGTGACTACCCCATGACACAATGGCATCAGGGGTGGGATTCTACCAGTTTGCACCTATTTGCTAGAACCGGTTGTTAACATTCTAAGCAGTTCGGAGAACCAGGGAATAGTCCCATGTGTATCATTACTTCATCCTGCATAAGAACTCCATATTTTGTGTCATTTGTGAGATGATGTCATGACATGCATGATGTCCTTGTATCTTGGGCCAAATGTGCTTCTTCTACATGTGCTTCTTATCACAAGAATTGAAACTTTTTCAAAAGATGTTCAATACATAGCCCCCTTTTTATGGGGGAGAGTTATTACCCATCAAGAATTAGTTTAATTTTATTACTTCTCTAATTACTTATTTTATGTTTTAGTATGTTATTATGTCTATTATATACAGCCAAGCAATTTCAATAATTGGCAGTATTAAAAAAATAATATTTAAGTAAGCACAAAGTAAAATCATTTAGTCGCACTACAGAGAGGAAATGTATTGACATTAAACTAATGTGGCTGTTAACTATACTAGTAATTAAATGGGCAAAGGTCTTCTGCACACTAAAGGAAGAAACAGCAGCTCTTCTTATCTTGCAGTATTAGTGAGGAAAGTATTTTATAGAGAATGTAACGTGCTTCCAGCTCAGTATTCTATTTTTGGAAATTTTCTCTTTCCATATTTCCAACTAAGTCAATAGGCATAATTCCTCTTGTAGAAAGATTTTGAAAGCGATCATGTTAATCCATTATATTAACTATTCAGTTGACTATAGAATCCCTTGAACTCATAAATAAGCAAAAAAACCAAATAAATGGAATAAAATTATACACAGTTTGGTGTAGTGGTTAAGGCACCAGATTAGAAATCAGGAGATAGTTCTTGTTCTAGTTCCACCTTAGACTAGAAAATTGACTGTGTGTCTTGGGCCAGTTATTCTCTCTTAGCCCTAAGAAAGGGGCAATGACAAACTACTTCCAAAAAATGAAAACATTTAGTTCAGGCAGTCACCAGGAGCCAAGACTGACTCAAAGGCTTGAGTCAGGCTTGAAATATTAAGTAAGTGAGTGAGTAAAATATACCAACAGAAAATACAAATCACATTGGTTTCTTTCTCTTTACAGAAGTTGAAAAAGAATTCGAACAAATAGAAACATTGTAAGTAATAATGTTCTTGTTGTAAAGTTAAAGCAATACTGTTTCATGACAACCAACACCATTACCATTCAATTTTAATGGGGGTTGGACTTCAAATATTAATTCTGTCTCGTTTGTTTATTTGTCTGCTAATGAAAGTGTTGCTGACTTCACTTGTAAAATAAGGGAAAAAATCTATTGCAAGCTTCTTCTAAGATAATCAAGCTTGATCTTTTTTCACACTTAACTTGTAAGAGGCATTACTGGAATGCTATTCTGCTTAAAAATAGTAGTGGTAGTATCCGACTGTTCTCCCCATGATTCCACCAAAGTGATAGGGAAAGGAGAGGTGTTTTTTTTTTTTTTGACAAAGCCATTGAATAGGCAAAGTACATTTTGCTTCCATGCTGCAAACTCATATCTGCATATACACATTTCCCAGAGACCAGAGACTTGCTGAGAACAAAACTGTTACAGGAAATGGTAGTTTTTCTTCCAGTCATCTTGTTATACTATGCTCCCTGGTTATTCCCATGTTCAACCACTCACTCAGGCAACCTCCTAAATACAAAGCCTAATAATTCTTAGATTTTAATTTACTGCAATTGTGAACTAGTTAGTTGCTAGGATGGACAACCCAGGGAAACAAACTTCAACAGCCTATTTAACTGAGTATACTGTATTTCTGTTAGTCCCATATCTTGATCCTCCACTCAGTAGCTAATGTTGAGGTAATTTATAATTCAGCCATCAAACAGCTTTGTTTCAAATCAATGCATTAAATGGAAACATACTCCAAACTAGCCAAATTAGAATAGAACAGTCATGTGTCACAATAGTATTGTGGGAAATCCCACCAGTTCTTATCAATGCCTCACAAGCATTTTTATGTAACTACAGGGGACTAGTGGTTTCTAGCTTATTCAGAACATTGAAGAAACTCTCATTTTGCATTTCTCTATAGGTGGAAAAAGATCACCTATGGTTTGAAGCTTAGAATTTTACTCCCTCACTTGCATTTTTCTAGAAGGGAATGTGAAGGCTGTCTTATTCATTTACAGATATATGTACAGTTATAGTATCAATTATATAGTGTATTTCTGGAAGATATGAAGCCTCCTCACTGATGGCTAGCCTTTACTTTTAAAACCACATCTTATGTCTCTGTTCTGCTCTATTGCTGGGGACGTTTAACCAAGCAAGAGCTAACAATGTGAAAACCCATCTAAGGGTAAAAGTCCATGTTGAACTTAATAAATGGGAAAAAAACTGAACCCACCCTTCTTTATTCTGTACAGGAAATCAGAAGACAGCAATGGTATGGAAAATAGTACTACCCGGCATAGGAACGTCTAAATCTCTTGTGAAATATGGTAAGTTAGAAGGTAAATCTGAGAGATCTTGTATCTATTAGTGTCCAGGTTAAATTTCGGGACTGTCAGGTTTGAACAGGCATTAAAGAAATGTTGGGCTGCTTGTTTATTTTATTCAATTTATTTGCACCCATCTTACAGAGGCAGCTTTGGGTGGAAAGCATAGATCATCACCAAAAACATTTGGTGTAAGAATTGTTGTTGTTAGTTGTGAAGTTGTGTCTGATCCATCATGACCCCAGGAACAATGTTCCTCCAGGCCTTTCTTCCTCTACCATCCCCCAGAGTCCATTTAAGCTCACACCTACTGCTTCAGTGACTCCATCCAGCCACCTCATTCTCTTTCGTCCTCTTCTTCTTTTGCAATCTTTCCCAGCATTAGGCTCTTCTCCAGTGAGTCCTTCCTTCTCATTAAGTGGCCAAAGTGTAAGAATACAAACTGAAAATTAAAAATCAGAATGGACTGGAGTAAAATGAAAAAAGTGGAAACTACGGTTGCCATCAACAATACCTATATCACATAGGTTTACCTAATTAGCCCATTTTTAAGGACTCTCCAAAAGACTAGTAGAGATAGGGTTAAAGTAATGTGGCGGTAGATGAAATGGTGTTCCAGGGGGCAAGCAGAGGGATAGTAAAGGCAAACTTCTGGTGTCCCTCTAGATCAGGGGTGTCCAACCTTGGCAACTTTCAGACTTGTGGACTTCAACTCCCAGAGTTCCTCAGCCAGCAAAGCTGGCTGA